CTGATGCTGCTGCTGCTGATGATGATGATGGTGATGGTGATGATGATGATGATGATGCTGATGATGATGATGACGATGATGATGATGACGACGATGCTGATGCTGATGCTGATGCTGATGCTGATGCTGATGATGCTGATGCTGCTGATGCTGATGATGATGATGATGATGATGATGATGATGCGGAGGAGGAGGAGGAGGAGGATGATGATGATGATGCTGCTGCTGCTGCTGATGATGATTGTGATGATGATGGTGATGGTGATGATGGTCATGATGATGATGATGATGATGATGATGATGATGATGATGATGATGGTGATGGTGATGGTGATGGTGATGGTGATGATGATGATGATGATGATGATGATGATGATGATGATGATGATGATGATGATGATGATGATGCTGATGCTGATGATGCCGATGATGCGTGGGTAGAGGGGAGGAGGATGAAGAGGATGAGGAGGCGGAGGCGGAGGAGGAGGAAAAGGAGGAGGAGGAGGAGGAGGAGGAGGAGCGCACGTCGCCTGGGAGGAGGAGCAGGAGGAGGAGCAGCAGGAGAAGGAGCAGCAGGAGGAGGAGGAGGAGCAGGAACAGCAGGAGGAGGAGCAGGAGGAGCAGGAGATCCTGCGCGGGGGGGGGGATGCAGAGAAAGCAAGAACCCCACTCTGGATGTGGGGAATGACGGCCCCCCAAAAAACTTCCGGACGTCCGCGCGGATTTCTTGGCTCTGCGGTGCGCCCCCCTTCCTGGCCCGCGGGGGCGCGCCAGGAAGGCGGCGCTCGAGGCGCCGCCAGGGGGCGGCCTGGCGCCGTTGCATCCAGGATGGGGAGGAGGAGGAGGAGGAGGAGGAGGAGGAGGAGGAGGAGGAGGAGAAGGAGGAGGAGGAGAAGGAGGAGGAGGAGGAGGAGGAGGAGGAGGAGAGGAGGAGAGGAGAGGAAGAGGAGGAGGGGGAGGGGGGGAGGACGACCAGGAGGAGGAGAAGGAGGAGGACGAGGAGGAGGAGGAGGAGGAGGACGACGACGACGAGGAGGACGACGAGGAGGAGGACGAGGAGAAGGATGAGGTCGATCCTCAGGTCTGCCAGCCCTTCGGTGCTGATGAGGGCGGCGCACGCGAACTGGAAGCGGACGTCGGCCTCCTGCTCGGCGTGCCGGAGGAGCCAGAAGCACGTCTCCTCGGGGGCGCCGGCGCCGGGGAGCGCGTTCGCGAGCTCCAGCACCTCCGCAGTGAGTCGCAGGATGAGCTGCTCGTCTTTCCTCTGGAGAGGGCGAAGACGCGGCGACATCCGAAGCCTACCCCCACCAACCGTCGATTCTCCTGCATCGATGGGGAGCGGGGGTAGGGTTCGGTTTTCGCCACGCGTGCGACGACTTCCGAACCCTACCCCCTCCGCCCATCGAGTTGCCGCAATCGTTGATCGGCGAGGGCAGGCTCGCCTTTCGCCGCCGGCAACGAAAACGGCCTGAACGGGAGCTTGCGGGGCTCCGCGCGGACTTCTCAGATCGGCGCTGGCCCCTCTCCCCAGCGCGCTCCGCGCGCACGAAGGCGGCGCCGGAGCCGCCGCCAGGGGGGCCCAGCGCGGATCTGAGAAGTCCGCGCGGACGTCCGAAAGAATTTGATGTGTATATGCCGTCTTCTGCTCGATCGGTCCTCCTGCGCTCGTGCAGCGCAGTGGCCAGCCGGCCGAGCTGCTCCTGGGCCTCCGGCGTGCAGGCCGTGCTCCTCGTGGTGAGCAGCGGCTGCAGGCAGCGCAGGCGGGGGTGGTTCTCCGCCCTGGCCCGCTCGGTGGCGTAGGACCGCATGTCCTCCTCGACGCGCCTCATCGGGAGCGGCCAAGAGGAGGGTGTCCAAGAGGGGGGGGGTGCAAATCATCACGGGCGGCATGTGCGCGGCCCAGCGGGGGGGCCAGGGACGTCATGACATAAGAAGAGGCGCCATGAAATCTGGGGAAATGTCATGGCCCCCGCCATGATATCCACCCCCCCCCTAGTCATCCCCCCCCCTCTTTTCCGCCCCCGACCTCAGCACGTTCGCGGCGATCTTGGACCTCATGACGGGGTGGCCCCGGACGTCGAAGGGCAGCTCGTGCGGGATCTGCTCGGGCACCAGGTTCTGGACGTACTGCTTCAGCCCGCCCTGGTCCACGCTCTCGAGGGGCTTGTCCGAGAAGGCCTTCACGTCCGCCTCGAACTCGTGCTCCACACCGATGCTCACAGACGCCCGGCGCGAGTTGGTTATTGCCGGGCAGCGCCAGACGTACACCTTCTCCTCGCAGGGCCCAAACACGAGCTCCTCCCGCGTGCCACGCGGCGCCACCGGAGCAGGAGCAATCGTGACAGCCTGCACGTTTTGGTTCAACTCTTTGAAGCAGACCATGCCCATCGGCCAGCGGAAGTCGGCCTGATTCTTTCGAAGCACCTCGCTGATGGCGTGAACGTGATGCTCCCATGCCTTGAGGCTCTTCAGTGGTGGCTTGCCGCCCTTCAACACTGGCCAAGACCTTAGCTGCCCCGATGCGCAACACGTAACACGTACGTAGCGTATTGATGCGGAGCTCAACACGCGGACTGAAAACGCAGGTCTGACGCGATGCGTTCGTAAGACATCGCGCAACAGCACGTGCCAATCAGCACGCAGCGTGTCAGCACGTACGTTTCGAACACGGTACGTGTTGAATTTCATGGGACGCACAGAGACATACTAATACTACATGTCCTCCTTGGAGGCGCGCGTCCGACCCGAACATCTAGTGTACCCATCTTGTAGTAGATCGTTTCCCCACCGGTGCGGCCAGAAACCGCCCGCCACGACGCACAGACTCGAAGATTTCTCGGTGCGCGCGTCGCCCCTGGGGGGCGACGCACATATAGGAGAATCGGGCCGGGCGGAAGGAGGGGATAGCAAAGGGGGGGGGGGGAGAATCAGCTTACGTAGCTGATTTTCCTGGTGCCTCCCGGCGCCGGGAGGCGCCCATGTATCGAGGAATGGGCCCGGCGGCGGGGCCGAAACCAGCTGCATGCAGCAGATTTCGTAACCCTCTTTCCCTATCCCCCCCGTTTGGTTCGGCCCGAGATTCGTGTGTTGGGGGGGCGCCGATTTCACCACGGGCGCATCGAGGCAGCTGGGGTTAAAGTCGGGGCCTGTCCTCCTACAGGGGGATTTTGGACGAGAAAATAAAACAGCCAAACAATACCCCCAAGATGGCCAAAAGTACCCCCCAAAATCGTCACCCGACGATGTTTTGACTCTTCTTGAACATTCCCCCCCTGTGGAGGGAAAGGCCCGACTCGAAGCTGGGGCCAGGACTGCTCGGGGTTGTTCGCCATTACCCGGAACAGCGAGGGCACGATGCCCCGAGCCCGCGCCTCCGGGCGGAGGAAGAAGAGTAGGGTCGCGAAGTCGTGGTCCTGCACCGCCGGGTCGACGCCCGCCTGAGCGGCGATCAAAAAAAAAAACAGGATCTTCTTCTTCATCTTGGCGACGACGACGACGACGACGACGACGACGGACGACGACGCACGACGACGACGACGACGACGACGACGACGACGACGACGACGACGACGACGACGACGACGACGACGACGGACGACGGACGACGACGACGACGGCGACGACGACGGACGACGGACGAAGACGACGGAAGACGACGACGACGACGACGACGACGACGACGACGACGACGACGACGACGACGATGCCACCTGGGTTCGACTGCGCCAACATTGGCGCGTAAGCTGCCCGCGTAAGGTCGCGAGTAAGCGTCCTCGTCTCCACTGTGGAACGCCGCGCCGGCGGCCTGCGTAAGCCACCGCGTAAAGTCGCTATGTTATCCCGCGCAAGACCCCTTTCTTTCCGTCGCTCAGAGCGACGATCAAAACGGGTCTCACGCGAGATGACATAGCGACCTCACGCGATGGCTTACGCGGGCGGCCAGCGCGCCACGCGACGCCGGAAGCGAGGACACTCAGGGCGCGATCTTGCGCGAGCAGCTTGCGCGCCAATGTCGGCGAAGACCACCCCGTTCTCTTCCGTCTCTGGCCTGTACTCGGACCGGCTTCAGCTGGCGGAACATGGAGTAGAGCCTGCCGAACTCCGCCAGGCTCTTGTTCATGGGGGTCTGGCCCATCAAAGCCTCCATGCCTCTCAACGTCGCCTCTTTCAAGCGCACCCGGTTGCGCATGCCCTGCAGCCGGATCTCGTCTTGGTCAATCTTGTCCTCGGGTCGGCCGCCTCTGATCTCCCGCAAGAGGCCCTTGCCGCTGCAGAAGAGGCTCGCCTGGTCTTTCGTGTGGAAGATGGACCCTGGAGGTCGCCTCGGGTCCCCTTCGGGCAGTGCCAGATTGATCATGCCGCTCGCGGGCGGCGAAAACGTGGCGTCCACAAACACCTTCCTGTTCTCGATGGAGGCGGCCATGTCAGGTGGAAGCGGGCGGTACCCGTTTGCCTCCAGCAGGATGCCCCGTATGTCCCCGTCGCCGCGGAAGATCTCGTTGAAGCGCAAGGCCGCCTGGGTGCGATCAAGGAAGCTCTGCAGCTCCTTGTGGTCCTGCGGCGAGCACTCGATCGCGCACTCAGGATCGGCGATCATGCGCAGGAACTTGCCCCGCTGCTCCTTGGTGAGGCTCTTGATCTGCTCTTGCGCCACCGTCATGCTCGTCACCCACTCGTCGACGAGCTTCAGAGCCCGGCCCTCCTCGAGGGGGGGGAACCATCATCCCCCTCGGCTACACGCAAAAGAGTGACCTCTGGGTAAAAGTGACCCCTAGTGCGCGGCTTTTCAGGGGCCGCGGGGTGACCAATCACAGGCGCGCAAGACGCTACGATCGCATCGCGTTCCGCGATCGGCGACCGGGGGATCCCAATGCGCCCGCATCAAAAGTCCCGCCGGCGAATGGTCCGGCGAGGGGTTGAGAGGCAGACCGCGGAGGGCTCCTCCCAGTCCTCCTCCTCCTCCTCCTCCTCCTCCTCCTCCTCTTCCTCCTTCTCCTCCTCCTCCTCCTCCCCCTCCCTCCTCCTTTCCTCCTCCTCCTCCTCCTCCTCCTTCCTCCTCCGCCTCTTCCTCCTCCTCTCCCTCCCATCCTCCTCCTCCTCCCCTCCTCCTCCACTCCTCCTCCCTCCCCCCTCCCCTCCCCCCCTCCTCCTCTCCTCCTCCTCCTCCTCCTCCCAGCCAGCAAGACACCCTGCAGCGGCAAAACAACCCCAGGCCACACCCGGCAGGAGCTGGCCCGCAGCCAGCGCGGCCGCGGCGCCCCCTCGAGGTTCCCGAGACACAAAAAGCAACTCGCCAGGATCGACATGGCACAGAGGGGGGGGGGGGGGGGGGGGGGGGGGCAAAATCAAATGGGGTAACTATCTTCGCGCTTCGCGCTCCGCGGAGCGCGACTGTTTTCGCGCTTCCGCGCCCCCCCCGCCCCGGGACAGGACGAGGGCCTCGCGCCTCGCTCTGAGGCCGCCCAGGCCGCGAAGCGCGACTTCACTTTGCAGCCTCGTGGTGGCCCCAAGTCTCCTCCCTCCTCCTCCTCCTCCTCCTCCTCCTCCTCCTCCTCCTCCTCCTCCTCCTCCTCTATCCTCCTCAGTGCTCAGCCGGCACACCGCCGACAGATGAGAGTACTTCGCCAAGTACGACGCCATCTCGACGTCGGGGCGCCAGGGCAGCTTCATCCCAGCGAACGCGACGGACAGGCCGATCTTGAGCCTGCACGCGTGAGCGTTCGGGTGCTGGTCGTCCTTGAAAGCTCCGAGGTGATCGAACACGCTCCTCTCCTTGAGCAGGAGGAAGAGGAGGAGGAGGAGGAGGAGGAGGAGGAGGAGGAGGAGGAGGAGGAGGAGGAGGGACGAGGAAAAGGCCATCCAGCCCGCTGCCGAGGCGGAGGAGGAAACAGAGGAGGAAGTCGAGGAGGGAGGCGAGGAGCATGTGGAGGATGAGGAAGCTGAGCGAGAGGAGGGCGGGGTGGAGTGGAGAGGAGGAGGCGGCAGGAAGAGGGGGGAGGAGACGGAGTTGGAGGCAGGGGAGGTCGAGGAAGTCGAGGAGCATGTGCAGGCAGAGCTCCTCGAGCTCGTAGGCGGAGTCGCTGCCGGTCGCGTTGACCAGCTGGACCACCGCCTCGTAGCTGCGCGCCGCGAAGCGCATGAGCATCAGATACAGCGCCGATCCTTACGCTTTCGCGATTCCGTCCAGACCCCCCGCCAACCATCGATTCTCTCCTGAATCGATGGGTGGCGGGGTTAGGGCTCGGACTTGCTCAACGAATTTCGAACCCTGCTCCCGCCGCCCATCGAGTTGCCTGAATCATGGATCGGCGCAGGCAGGGTGAGAATCTCGCCGCCGGTCTAGGACGGCGCTGCACCCCCTCCCTGGCGCGCGGAGCGCTCCAGGGGAGGCGCGGGAGGCAACGCCGATGGGGTCCCCCCTGAGATCCGACGCTGCAAGAAACATGCAATGGGCCCGATCTCTCCGCGATATTTTTGAGCCGGATCGATCTGTGATGGCCCCAGAGCCCGAAAAAGGGCGAAAACGGCCGGTGTGTTAAATTGCAGCGCCCCGATCTCAAGGTCCAGCGCCGATCCAGGAACTCCACGCGGACATCCGAGAGTGCATGCTTATTCCGTCTTTGTGTTTGTTCTTCGAGATCCGACGCTCGGGGCGAGCTTTCTATTAGGAATGCGGGAAAAGACCATCATCCCTGCTCGACTCAACGATGTGGCAGCAGCAATGCGAATTGAAAGGTCGCTATGCGAACCGGGAAGAAGTACTCTGTGTCCCTCAAAAAATCGGGACCCCCGGACTAGGAAGTAACCCCCCAAACATCAGTCCCACGCGGGGCTACTAGTCCCCCCTGGAATATTGGGCCCCCACCACTGGACTATCGGTACCCCCTCGTTTATTACTAGTATTGGTACCCGCCCCCGTACTACAGGTACCACTCAGACCACCTGCACTCGCGCAACAGGCCACCTCTCGAGGCGACGAGTGCCCTCACCCCTGGACTGTCAGGCCCCCCCCCCGACTATTGGCACCCCACCCCAGGCTATGGATACCTCCACCGGGACCCCTTCCCCAGACTACCGGTACCCTCCCCGGACTACGGGTGTGCCCCCAGAACTATCGAGGGACACAGGGTAAACCGACCTGCACTGGGCACGCCCATGTGCGGCTCCGAAAGTGTATGCGGATGCCGAGGAGGAGGAGGAGGAGGAGGAGGAGGAGGAGGAGGAGGAGGGCGATGAGGGGGAGGAGGAGTTGCTCTTCGAGGTCCGACGGTCGGGGTGTAGAGAAACATCTGCGAGACATGCACCTCGTAGAGGAACGTCTTCGTCCTGTGCCTCCTCCACTCGGCGCTGCCGCGCTCGAGGACCAGCTCGCAGGAGAAGGGCTCCGAGGCGATCCTGGGCCGGTGGGGCAGCACGAACGGCACGAGGATGCGCCAAAGCAGAAAAGCCGGGACAGGCACAAACTTTCGGACGGCCGCGGGGATCTCCTGACTCGGCCCCCTCCTCCTCCTCCTCCTCCTCCTCCTCCTCCTCCTCCTCCTCCTCCTCCTCCTCTGCCTCCTCGTCTTCCTCCTCCTCGTTCTCCTCCTCTTCTTATTTGTCTTATTATTCCTCTTATTACGTAGTATTATTGTTGATAATTGTGATTATTATCATTATATTTGTGATTATTATCACTACTACTAGTAGTATGAGAATTCGCATTGTTATTCTTAGTATAATGGAATAGATTATTATTGCTATTATTGTGCTGATTCGTATTAACATTATTAGTATTATTATCAGTATTATTATTATTACTACTACTGCTGCTACTACTACTACTACTACTACTACTACTACTACTACTACTACTACTACTACTACTACTACTACTACAATGAGTATTAATAGTATTACTAATATCGGTGGTATTATTACTCGTATCAGTATTACCATCATTCTTACTACTATCAGTATTATTCTCCTCTTATCATATCCTTCCTTTTCTTCTTCCTCCTCCTCCTCCTCCTCCTCCTCCTCCTCCTCCTCCTCCTCCTCCTCCTCCTCCTCCTCCTCCCCCCTCTTTGGCACACGGAGCGCGCCAGGGACGGCGCCAGAGACCCCGCCAGGGGGCCCAGCGCCAATCCAAGAGATCCGCGCAGACCTCCGACAGCTTCTTGCTTCTGCCGGCTGTTCTTCTTCGTGATGTAATAGGACCCTGGAAGAGTCAAGAAATACGAATATCGGCTACACGCAGGGGTGACCCTGGGTAGGAGTGACCTTTGGTGCGCGGCTTCTTGTGAGGCCGCGAGGTGACCAAACACGAGCGCGCAAGACGCTAACATCGCACCACGTTCGGCGATCGGGGCGCCCAATGGGGCTGCACCAAAGGTCACTCCGGAGAAGGGTCACTCTTACGTGTAGTCGATGATGCCGCGACTCCGTGGACCTCTCCCGGGGTGCGTTCCGACCCACGTCGTCGTCGTCGTCGTCGTCGTCGTCGTCGTCGTCGTCGTCGTCGTCGTCGTCGTCCTTCAGGGTCGGCGGCACCGGCCGTAAGGCCTTCGTAATACTGATACCGCGCCTCCGAGGACCTCTCCCTGGGTGCGTTCCGAACCAGTTTTTCGAGCGTGTCCCGCCGTGGTGACGAGGGCAGAGCAGCGCTGGAGGCGATACCGGGGGGTCTGCACTGGTTGGGGCCCCAGAGAATCGGCCAGCAGGGGAGATGAGGCCAAATCTGCTCAAGATCGGTTTCTGGACCTCTCCCAAAGCCCATGTGGTGCAATCTTTTACGCCGGATCAGGTTTCCTGGTCCCTCACGGCCCCCAGGGGCTCGAGAACTGCCCCCAGAGGCCCAAACGAAAGCAGAAACCTGCCCGAACCCCCCAAAATCTCGAACCTGCCCGCCCTCCCTGCTGGCCGGAACCAGCGCTGCGCTACCCCAGACGGCTCCGAGGGGAGCGAGGCCTAAACATGCGACGGCCTGAGTTTCTCAGGACGGCGTCCCCGCAACTCCCGACCCTTTCCCCGGGACCGGTACTTCTTCCTGAGTCGTTTGTTGACGACCCCGAGGCCCAGCTGGGGCCCCCAGGGGCCGAAAATAGCCCCAAACCGCCCGTCCAGATTTTTTCACGACGCCATCGTGTCTGGGTCTGGGTCTGGGTCTCCTCCTCCTCCTCCTCCTCCTCCTCCTCCTGCTCCTCCTCTTCCTCCCCTGCGGGCCGGTCAGGTCGACCAGGGGGACGGCGTGCGGGAGGCCCCGGAAGAGGGCGGCCTGCTGCTCGGCCAGCTCCAGCGGCAGCCTGGGGACGAGGCTCAGGCCCTTGTGGTCGCAGGAGAACAGCCGGCCCTGCCCCGGCCAGCCACGGCGGGGGTGAGCTCTGCTCCCAGACCCCCTCGAGTAATGAAAAAATCATGACGGGAGGTTTTTCCTAATTTTCGGCCTGCGGGGGCCCTCACCGGGCCTCGGGAGCGTCAAAAAACGACTCAGGATGCGAAGCCGGTCATGGGGAAAGGGTCGGGACCTCTGGGGGTCGACGTAATGAAAAAATCATTACGGCGGGGGTGAGCTGTGCTCCTCCCTTCCCCCCCCTGGGGGGGAGCCATCGGATCGACGATCTCTCGAAGGGGGCCTCGAGGCCGATCTGGGCGACTCCTGAGACCCCGGACCCAAACATGCTAGCCAACGTGGGCCCCAGACGATGTGTGTCTTGCGATACATGATCCAGGATCCCCCTCCCACCTCCCAAATCACATGGGATCGAGCCCCCCCCCACCGCTGGATGGGTACGCCCGTGACCCTCGCGAAAGCGTCGCCACTGGGGTCGCTCAGTCCCTCCTTTTGATCGTGGCCCACGGGGCGTGGCGTGGTGAAGGCAGTGCTCCCTCCCGCCCCTGTGGGTGTGGGGTGGCTTGTCGTCGTCGTCGTCGTCGTCGTCGTCGTCGTCGTCGTCGTCGTCGTCATCGCCGTCGTCCCCCCCATCCCATCTTGGAATGGAAGGGGGGGGCCGGTGGAAGCCTGGGGCCCATCACGTCTGCGGGAGGGGGCGGGATGACGACGGCAAGGCCGATGACGGCGCCGGTGCTGATCACCCCGATGACGATGGTGGTGTCCACGTGTCGGGACGCACATGGACATACTAATACTATGTGTCCTCCTTGGAGGCGCGCGTCCGACCCGAACATATAGTATACCCATCTTGTAGTATATCGTTTCCCGAGCGGTGTGGCCAGAAAGCGCCCGCCACGACGCATATACTATAAGATTTCTCGGTGCGTGCGTCGCCCCTGGGGGGGCGACGCACATATAGTATAAGTATGTTGGGATGTTGCCGACGTGTCGGTGATGAAGGCTGCGAGAAGTACATTCGACACGCGCGCGCGCGCGGCAACCGCGCGCGAGTGGCCCGCATGGTACGATTTGACATGGATCGCGCCCCCCCCCCCACACAAAAAAAAACGCGCGGAAGGGTTTTCGAATGATTTCGACATTCGCGCGCGAGGCGCATGTTTGGTCGAATGTGGTGAAAATATTGAAACACCATTGTTTCGTTCAGAACTCGCACACTCGCGTAGACATTATTTTGGATGTGTGAAATTACAAAACTATCGGCTTGTATGTTTCAGGACATTCGGTGCTGAAACCCGCGCGGGACCAACGGTTTTCGAACGATTTCTGCATGCGCGCGGCGCGCGCGTGCACTTCAGCCATTATGCTACAAAGACTTATCGGATATTAGCGATTTTTGATTGACGACTGTGCGCGCGTAGCGTTTGCTGGGTAAGGGGGGTCGATCTCGGTTGGGCAGGGGTCAGATGGTTTCATTTGAAGAATGAACCGATGTGGCATGAACGCATGCAGATTGCACACCCCAGGATGGACGGTCAAGTCCGCCGTCGGGAGGGCGGTGGAATCGTTCCGCGCGTGACCACCGCCCATGCTCGAGCAAACATCCCACCCACCCACCCGCAGCTTGGTCGAACAAAAACCATGCGGCGGCGATTGCGATGGCAGCTTGGCGCTGGCTTGCGCATCGCCGCAGCCGCCCTTGCGCGCAGGCTCGCGCGCAGAGCGACCAATGAGTCTGGTGCGGCCGACGCGGCCGCGGTGGCGCTGAACGCCCGGCACTTCCCAGCGCGTCTCGCAAGCCGCGCTGACCCGCGGGCACGTCCGTGCGAATTGGTGCCTCGAGCGGGCGCGGTACCATGGCGACGTCGACAATGGAAGACGCGACGATGATTCGAGCGATGCTGGTGACGAGGATGACGATGACGACGGCAACGCCAAAGACGGCACCGATGCTGATCACGCCGATGACGATGATGGCGTCCACGCGTCGGAAATGAGCGTTTTGGGAAGATTTTGACATGCGCGCGCGGCCGACGCGCACGACTGGCCCGCGTGTTACGATTTGGCAAGGATCACGTCCCACCAGCAAACGCGCAAGGGCGTTCGAATGATTGCGACATCCACGCGCGAGAAGCCCGCTCGATCGCATCTGATGAAAATATGTGAGACAGAAGGTTCCTTTTGAATTCACGAGAGCGCGCGCTCGCTGATTTGGAAATTCACGTGGCAAAGCATGTTGTATTATATGTGTTCGGCATGCTCGCTTTTGAAATCCTCACGAAACCTAAGGTTTTGGGGAAAACCGGCATGCGCTTGCGCCGACGCGCGCGCGCGCGCTCTTCGTCACATCTGTTGCAACATATTCTGAGAAACTGACGATTGTGATAATCGAATGCGCGCGCATTGTACTATTTGACAGGGGCGGCGGGAAGGGGGTCGATACTGGTTGGCCGAGCTGGAATGGCATGAGTACATATGGAAAACGAGCGAGGAGGTACAATAATATGCCAATAGCGATACGCAAGGGTGAACAGCTAAGCCCGGCTTCGATGAGGCGGCGGAATGAAATATATTTTGGAAAAGAGGGAATCGACAGGTAATACACATACATATATATATATATATATACATACATATACATATATATGTGTATATATATGTAAACACAAGACTGCAGTGGCGCTTCGCGCCATTCACCTTGGTCCTTGAAGGTTGGTGTGCAGGCTGATTAGCAGGAAGGTCAAGCCGACAATTTAGCGATAACTCCTTGTTGCCTTTTCCGGCATCGCCGCTATGATAATGTTCTTCGTTATCCTTCCTCCATGCTTCTTGTTCCTCATTTTCGACGTACCCTGCGCATTCCCCCCATCCTCCTCAGCTCTTTTTGGCGGAGTCTCCTCCTGGGAGAGCCTCTGGGGGCCTCACAAAAGTTGTTTCAGGCTTTCTTGATTAAGGCCTTCTGGAGGCCTCCAGGGCGTATGCTGGGGGCCTCTGGGGGCTTCCTCGGACCACCCTGCCTCCAACTACGGTCTCCCTGAACGGCCGGGTCACGATTGTCTTGGGGCCATCACCCGTGTTGCGCCGTTTTGGGGCTCTGTTGGACTGCCTGGAAGCCCTTTCGGATGGTTGTGGTGCGATTTCGGAGCCTCCCAGGCGGCTTCGGACGCCCAGAAGACCGCCGTCATCGAGCGTCGGGAAGCCGAAAAGAGGAGAATTCCCCAATTCACCAAAAGCCAACAGAAAATCCATGATGTTTGCCTCTTGGGGCCTTCTTGGGAATGCTCTTGGAAGCCTCTTTGGGGCCGTCTTGGAGGCCTCTTGGGCCATCTTGAGGTCACGTCGGTCACTCTTGGAGCGCTCTTGTGCTGTCTTGGGCCTCCGATAACCCCCCTGATCGCCCTAGGTGTGCTGGGAAGGCTTGGCCAAACGCCCTGCGAGGCCCGGGGGGCCGCTTCGAGGCCCGTCCGGAGGGTCCCAAAGCCCCAGATCCCGGGAATCCGGTTTTGAGGGGGGGGGTCCCCCCGCCCGGGCTTATCAAAATATAGGAAGAGGAATATGGCGTGCTCTTCGTTGTGGAGTCTATGTGGCGCGACTCGGCAGATGGTGCCTGCGCTGGCGATGTATCGCATGAGCGGGAGCACTGCTGGGCCGCCTTGTGCGACCATGCAGGAGGCCCCGTGAAACAAACAAGCGGGATACCCTTAGCACTACTCGGGGAAAAGCGACACCCCTTGGAGGGCCGACTCTCACTGACTGCCTACCAGACCACCCCAGCCCAACCCGAAGACCCGAACTTCGGGTTGGGGGGGGGGGGTAAGGGCTCCACATGTGTTTTTGTTCGATGTTTCCCGACCCCCCCCCACTGGAAATCGAGGGCAAATCTGAGCCTTCGGGCTGGCCTGGGGTGGCTTCGTGGGTGGTGCCTCACGCACGCCGCCCTCCGCCGGCCTCCGCCGGCGGAGCCGCCCCCGCTCCACCTCTCCGCCGCCCCCCCGCCCAGGGACGAGATGCGCCGTCTCCTCGACCCCTCGCGGGGCGAGACGCCGTCTCCTCGACCCCTCGCGGGCGAGGCCGCTCGCCCTCCCGCCGCCCTCCCGCCAGGGCAGGGGCGGCCAGCTCCTCGACCCCTCGCGGGCCTGAGGGCGGGGGCGAGGGCGGGGGGGCGAGGGCGAGGGGGCGCCCTCCCTCGAGGGCGACGTCGAGGGCGAGGGCGAGGGGAGAGGCTGGCGCCTCGGTCCCTGGAGGGCGAGGCCCCCCTCAAAAGGGGGGCCCGGAGGGGGGGGGGCGGCAGGGGGCCACGGCTCTCTCCCCCCCCAGGGCGCCTCCCGCTCCTCGAACGACAGGCTCAGGCGGGGCAGCTCCACCAGGTCGAGCCGGCCCAGGGCGGCGTTCCTGTGGAAGCACGCGCGCAGACGAAACAAACACACAAACACCCACACACACACACACACACAAAAACACACACACACGCACGCACAACACACACACACGCACGCTTTTGAGCTGGCGGCGCAGAGGGTCCTCAAGCGCGGGCAGCAGATGGAAGTGCTAATTGCGATCGAGCATCGTCGAAAAGACACTGTGCAAAGCGTCGCGCACTGAAGAGTACAACAGTGGGTGGTGTAGACGAGGAACTGTAAGTCCATACGAAACGTGCAGCGGCCAGAAAACCGAGGAGGCCACTCAACTCAAAGTAAACTGAAGCGGCTTAGCGCAAGCAGTCTGGTGCGAATTGGCGGCTGCTGAATCCCCGAGGACGGCGTTAGACAATGAAGCGCAACAAGAGACAAAAACAAACACACACATAAAAACAAACACACACACACACACACACACACACATCCCAGGGCGGCGTTCCTGGTCCACGCCACCACCTGCGACAGGTCGTCCAGGCGCGACAACATCCTCGCGGCGTCGAAGGCGAACGAGCCTTCTGGCGCGCAGAGCAGGTCAACCATGTGGAGCGGCTCCCGTATCCCGCTGGCTTCGTCGGGGACGAAATGCTTCGTCACATACGCCTTGACTCCAGCGCAGCGCGTGGCCCTCATCCTCCGGACAGTGACGAGGTGGATCACAAGCCAGTGGTCCACACCTGCGAAATCGGTCACCTCCTCCCCGTCCACGTTCAGCGCGTAACCGCGCAGCATGTGGCGGACAGCGTTGTCGGCATAGAAGTGGTAGCGCTGCAGCAGGCACCAAGGGAGGACACCCCTGAGCCACATCGCGTCCACGTATTGCTCACCTGCACCATGCCGAGACATGCGAAGTCCAATTTTTTCCATACGGGGTCCCTGGAAGTCCCGACTCCTTCCCCGGGACCGGCTTTTCGTCCTGAGCCGTTTTTGTTGACGGTCCCGAGGCCTGGCGAGAGCCCCCAGGGGCCGAACATAGCAAAAAACTTGCCGTCGTGATTTTTTCCGACGCGATCATGTCTGAGTGCAAGAAACGGGTCGGGGCCGCTCTACCCCCCCCACCAACTCTTCGCCCCGCGCCGGTTTTGACGGCCCAGTGGCCCGGGAGAGGCCCCGAGACCTCGAGAGCGGCGGAGGATACGTCGGCTCCTCCCCCTCCTCCTCCTCCTCCTCCTCCTCCCCTCCTCCTCCTCCTCCTCCTCCTCCTCCTCCTCCTCATCCTCCTCCTCCTCCTCCTCCTCCTCCTCCTCCTCCTCC